CTTTTTTAATTTCATTTGGTCTCCCGGCTCGTTGACATTTGTCACAGGAACGAACGTAATCTTCAATTTCCTTATAACAACCAGGCCAAAAAAAAATAACGTAAAAGCCTATCCTTCGATTTTGTAACCCACAAATGAGCCGAAGTTCCCTCGTGGCATAATGCTTGGATCTTCTTCCGAAATTCTATTGGCCCTACTAGCATTTTTTTCTCATTTCCATAACGATCTCTTTGAACTCGAAACAAAAGATCATTCTCAATATGGTAAGTATGTTTTGATGATTGATTTCCATTTCTTAAACTAATAGAGTCGTAAATCACTTTTAATGTTTTACACTTTTTCTGGGAGTCATTAAATGTCCTTCGGTCAGTCTTTATTAGAGCAATTTCTTCCCCCGCTGCTCTCGGCAGCGGTAGCAAAATCTCCATTCCCATGGTAGGGTCGATTGGAGTGGGGGACTCACTGGCCCCGCCTTCCTGAAAAGTCGCTTTTCTCGAAACCCGATCTGCCACTTCCTGTGGGTTTTGACTTTTCTTTCGGGCAAACGGCGTTTATGGAATTTGGAACTAGTGATTGCAATCTTCCTGCGGTTTGATTTCCCAGAATATACATACCTCTGTCTAAATCCTCTCCAACGATTGTGGCTTGAGTTTGGATGAGCCCAATTTCATTCATCTCAAGCTGTACGCATGCTAATGGTAGACATTTCGCTTCCATATCCAAAGGACTTCTCACCCATACTGTTTCTCCCGTAAACATTTCCGGAGTGATATAGTTACGACTCACCAAATCGAGGCTCGCTCCGGTGTCCCGCAGCACTTTAATAGGATGACCATTTACTCGTGCGTCCGTGATAAACGAAGGCAACAATTCCTCTGCGCTTTTATATTGGTATATGTTGTTTACCATGGCTGGTGATTTGTCCTTTATGAGTTTTGGGCACTGGGGCCTAAGGTGATTTTCTGAGCCGCATTCGAAACACTTAGAAGCCTTTCTCTTTTCAAATGCCTTGTTTTGGCTGGTCTTCATTTGTTCTGCCCAAGACGAAACATTTTTTTTTTTTTCTCGTCATCCCCTTTTTATCTTTAGGATCAGTTAAATTCCTATCATTCTTCCTTTGGTCTTGATACCCTGGATGAGCTGATTTCTTCCGAATTCCTCTGACATCTTTGTAGTCATCTAACATATCTGCTGACTTAACTGCCGAAGTAACTTTTACCCAGTCTTCCAAGAGATGGTTCTTGACTTTGCTGGCTACTCGACATTTCATTTGATCGGTAACCTTTAGTTTCTCGAAATCATTTATCTCCTGACCGCTTAACCATCCATCTAAATAATTTCTCAGAACAAAACTCAAATCCCTCCATGTTTCATCTGATTTTAGTTGATGCTGAATGAATTTAAGATGGAATTTTTCGGGGCTCAACTTGAATCTTTTTAAGAGCAAAGCCTTTACATATATGTAATCGCATGCCTTATCTTCGGGTTCTTTAGATATAAGTTGAACGATTTCCATGGGCAATAGTACTAACAAATAAGCTACCCAGTCGCTCTCCTCGATACCAAACCTCTTTGCTTGTCTCTCAAACATTGTCAAATACAAACTAATATCCCCACTATTCAAATCAAATTTTTGAATAATTTTTTGTATCTCATGATGAAACTGCTGATTACTTGATCTTGAATTTTCCGATACTGCAGGCGACGATCTACCCATTGCCTCGATCCTTAGCCTTTCTAATTCAAATTGTCTTATCTCCCTAGCCCGGCAATCCTCTCTCTCTTGTTCTCTAAGTCTCTCTTTCTCTAACCTATCATTTACTGTTCCCTCGAAGACACTCTTAATGAACTCTTCATCATATGCTGCACTTTTTTGAATCCGAGATTTTAGCTCCACAATCTTTAGACTCATTGTAGCCTCCTCTCCTAATTCTATTGCTAGGTTATATAAGTCAATCTTTTTTCCCTTTCCCAAGAAAGCCATTTTAACCAAAGTCTTTGAGCTTTGTGCCACACTCAATTTCTGTACTTAGAATTATCGCACACTAATCAAAAATACAATGCTACTGAGATTATCATTATTAATAGTAACCATTAATGCACAGTGATTTTACAAACATCGTAAATGATCTGAATCTTAATATAACAAGAATTCAGTATACTCAGTACTACAATTTTCAAAACGCTTGAAATTCCCTAATATTATTAAAATCTAATACACACTGTGGCAACATTTACAGAATTAATGAATTGAGTTTTAGTAAGTTTTTACCTGAGTACATACTAATAAAAGCAGTAAGTAATTCAATCACAACTTCAATAACAACTAGTACACAATAAACCCAACATCAGTAACAATCCAATTAAGTAAATTTCAACTGTACTTAATTTAGTAAATCTCAGTTTTCACAACTACAGTAGTGCTGATGTGTTTTCTGATACATTAAAAAAAAACAATATAAAATTGTCAGTAATTCTTATACTGTTAAATAACAATAAAACCAATATACATTAATTCCAAGCACAGTTAATTTTTGTTGGATCTTACATTCAAAAATGTTAAAACAGGGCAAACAATTAACAACAGTAAAAAGACTTTCTGTATTTTCTGTGCTACTGAATTTCTACCTTATTATTTCAAAAATTATGCAAATTGTTATGAGAAATCATTATGAACTAACACCATAACATACGCATACATACGAGTTAAAATGCATAGCAAGGAAGACAATGTATCAACTTTTAACAAAATTAATTACTTAGGATAAGTCACTGCCTTAATGTAAAAATCAAGGTACTTACCCCGTTTGATGACTTGTTAGATGAGGATTCATTGACACTATATCTATTTTGTACGATCTTCGAAATCACAAGATTCCCACAAACACAGAATTTATGTGATCAACTTCTGTAGAACGTGCTGACTCTTCCTTCACAACATGGAACTTTAACATTATAACATAAAAATCAGGATGATTTTGATGAAGAAAACTTGTTGTGCAGAGCCGTGGCGGTTCTCTAAACTATTACTTAGATCAACCGAAGAAACTGAAATTGGAAAAATTACAACACAAAAATCTGGATGATTTTTGATGAAGAAAACTTGTTGTGTAGAACTGTGGCGGTTCTCTAAAATATCACTTGGATCAAATGAAGAAACTGGAATCAGGACGATTCATACGACGTGAAAATCATGATGTTTTTGGTCTGTCAACTTATGTAGATCAACATCAGAATTTGAGCAGATTTCTAAACTGCACAAAATCATGAGGGTGCTGTCGAAACTTCATTGAATCAGGATGATTCGTTCAAAACTGCAAACCTCTTAGAATCAGGATGATTCTACTCAACAGTGTCGAATTCAAACATCACTTCTTCGTTTGACTGGTGGGCCTTTTAAAATCCCACCGCTGCTGCCACCAGTTGTACCATTAGTCGTATCTCCGCAAAATAAACAAGACCTGTTCTAGGCTAGATATTTACTTATATATATACAACTATGTACAAATTATATTTTAGGAAAACTTTCAGATACATTTTCATTACAGTAGAGTGCGCAAAGCCAGCATATGCTCTTTTTGATTTTACATCTCAATCTCCTCTTACTTTTTCCCACCTGCAACCAGGGGGGAAGTCCACTTCCCTCTTCCGGCCGAGGCAAGAAGAGGCTTCTCTGTCCCTTCTTTTAGGGTGGGTGACCAAGTATTCTTCAGAGAAGGGAAATGTTACAATGCTAATAAATGATTGTTTCTTCAGTATGGAGATATTTTATTTAAAGTGAAATTAAGAATCAAGACTCTCTATGTCTTTTATTATGAAAAAGTATCAAAATGCACATGCGTTAAGAGCACCCCCCCCCCCCCCCCCCCCTAAAAAAAGGAAAGAAAGAAAATTTTCTGGGACCCAGATTTTAGATAGTTCCTTTTATTGTATGTCCAGATCTCTTATTTTGTGCTGTAGTTACTTTCTGTACTTCTCAATAAATCAAACATTTTAAACATTTATTGAAAAAATGTATAATGAGGAGAATAATGAGTGATTGTAAAATGTTAATATTTATATTAAAAATGATTTTGAAAATGAAAATATGATAGCATGTTGTTTACTTGGAGCTCTTCTCCTCATGAGCAAACTATAAATGATTATTGTTGGGACAGTTGGCCATTTGAAAATGGTTTGCATTGATGATGTATAGATAATTTTGGTGCAGTTTACAAAATGGGGGCTTTAATAATCAGGAAATACCATTTATTAGTATAGAACCATAATCTAATAATCATACAAAAGATTCATTTAACTGCAAATATTTTCATTTTTTATATAAGCAAATAACATTATGAGTTGGTTATGTAATAATACTGCAGTTAGCCATTGTTTTCTTTAATAATGAATGCTATAAGATAATGTGAATAGGATCTCCTTTTTGAAAAAAAAAAAAAAAAAAAAAAAAAATATGTTAATCAATATTTTTCATGCTAGTTTGCATAACAATGTTTGTGTCTTAGTCTATTAACATCAGGAGCCTTTCTCTAAACTGGTATTTCATTTTTAACTTTTCACAAATGCAAACATTTACTTTTCAATTTATATATGACCAGCGATAATGTGTATGTGTGATCTCTAAATATCTCAATCAATTTTTGTCATATATGAGTTAAATCTTTCATATATTTTTTTTTTTATAATCGGTATAAACTTTTCTTAATTGTAACTAAGGACTGAGAAACCACATAAAAATTAGATTTTGTATTATATACAAAATTGACTTTGCTTAAATTTAAGAATGCCAAAATAGGAATATTTATGCCATTTAAAACATTTTTGTAACTGGAAGTATATGTTTACAGTTTTCTGGTGGTCTGAATGAAACTCATACATTTTGACCTCATTTTGTGGAACTATATATTTCTCCCTTTCAAATGATAAAAAAAAATTTTTAGATTTTTTTTGTTTCTTTGTAGATATTTTAATGAACAGAAGTTTTTTATGTATTTATTCAGGTTTATACTGCTGATTTAGAGCATAGGAAGGAAATTGCTGATTTGTCTTCAAATATTGAGCAGCTTCGTGCAGATTTAGAATTTCAAGAGCATAAACTTGGAGAAAAAATAAAGGAACAGGAAGAATTAGTAAATGGTTTACAAAAAGAAAAAATCAAATTACAGGTGAATTTAGTCTGTTTTTATAGTTCTAAAATTTATTTAAATTCATATCTTTATATATTTTTCATAAATAAATTGAAATGCTTTAAAACAATTATTACTTAATACTCTTATTTATTTTGCATCTAGGTTTCCAACTGATGATTTAAATCAGGAACAATAATTTAAATTTAACTGAAAACAGTTGCATTATAATTGAGGACCGCAAGAATAGGTGCAATTTTCATATAGTTAAAAAATTAATTTTTAATGTTGAGAGGTACAGTTTTAGAATAATAAAAGTAGTTACAATAGAATTTCAGTTATTTGAACACTGCCAATCTATATTAGGCATATCACACTCAGTACCTCTGGTGGGCTAGATAGTAATAAGTGTGCTATGGTGCAGGCCACAACGGGAAGAGAAGCCCTTTTCATACTTAATGACAAATTTAAATAGTGAGTAAATACATAAGATCTTATCTAACACCTTACAAATAGGAGAAACATAAATAAAACCTGATAGATATAATTACATATTTTTTCTTTCCTTACACTTGCCATCTAGTTTCTGCAGACAGCTTTCAAATGTCTAGAATCATGTTGTTCACAGTAGGAATTTTCGGAGTAGAGGTCAGATATATGTCTATTAACCTGGATCTTTGGAGACTTGTTCCTTTTATAAGTGAGGAAAGTTGTTCACATTCATACATACTATTGAACATCGAAATATTGTGTGATGCTTGTTTATGGCTGTACAGGAATCTTTCAGAGAAGTATTTTCCAAATTCATAGATACCCATACCATTGAATTTTTGCATTAGAACCCAGTCACACTGAATTTCTGTTAACCGAATTAATTTGTAAACTGGCTGGTATGCTTTTAACATCGATAGAGAAAATATTTTTATGATGAGACCATCTTAAGAATCCTTTTTTGACATTTGTGGTTTTATATATGCCTTGATGTTCAAGGAAATTTAAACTTTTATTAATGTATTGCGATTACATGTTTTTTGTTATTTTCTTGGGTGAACCGAGGGTGGAGTAAAAATGAGCCAAGGACTGCAAGTTTGAGATGCCTGGTCTGAGGGGGAGGGGAACAAAAGCAATTGGATTGCCCTTTTCCTGTGGGCCAAACATGTTTGCTTTAATGTGCATGACAAAATTTTATTTCTTCATTCCTCATACTTCATTTAAACTAGTGTTCTACTCTTAACAATAAAAAATTATTTGAATTATACAAAATACAAAACACTCTTATTTTCCAAAAATTAAAGGATGGATTTATTTTGATTATATGTAAGCATAAATTCATCTATTAAAAAAAATTCTGGAGATATATCAAAAGCTAACAGAGTATGAGTGATTGTAATCACATAGTATCATCATACACATAAATTCTTCGTCTAAAAAGTCAATAAACATAAATGTCTTAATAATATTTACACTATTGTGAAAAAGAAGCCTTTGTTATGGTTAAGCAATGATTTGTAGAGCAAGGAAAATTTTTTACATAGCTTTGTCCTCCCCATAATGAGCTGTTATTCATATTCTCTTTAGAAATATAACTTTTCTGTCACCCTTCCTTAAAAAAAGTATAATCACCCTTCAGAGAAAACAGAATTTAGAAGTTGAATCATTGTTAAGTTGTATGTTATGTTAAATAATTATCACAACAGCAACATAAATGTGAAAAAGGGGCCAAGTTGGGGAGAAACAATGTTCGGGTAATTGATGTCACCGATAAGAGGTTAGATCTAAATGATGGCAAGTTCTATAGCAGTTACTTTGTAGCTGTAGGAATGTACATTGTTCTTCAATTCATATGAAAGCAATTTATTACTTTCTCTGGTATCGGATTTCTAATTTGGCAAGTTTTATTTGTCATAAAAATAAATTTAAATAAATTTGATTTCTCCAATTAGAAATTAACTTGCCAAGTTAGAAAGCCGTTATCAGAAAGTAATAATTTTTATTTTTTTAATGAATTCAAGAACATTGTACACTGCACCAAAAGAAATGGGACAGTTCTATATCTCGCATTCTACTGGGCCGATTGAGGAGATTCGAACTGCGTTTTTCATGTCTCAAAAGTGCGACTTAGGATATACACTTATGGACCAAAAATTAGCGCACCAAGAAGGAGTCGTCAAAATAAAATGAAATTTTACGTACGTAATGACTACGTTGATTTAAGTAAATGATAAGAAAATCAAAGAAAAAGGATAATTTATTTCAGAGAAAAAGGCAAAAGAATGGAGGCGTTAATACTCCATTGGACCCCCTCTAGCGCGAATGCACAATGTGATATGATTGGGCATTAAATCATGCAAGTTCTGTATGATGTCTTGAGACATTTCGTTCCATATTTGTTGTAACTTTGCCTCTAGTTCGTTCAAACTCATGGTATGCCCAACTCGTCGTCCCAAATGATCCCAGATATGCTCGATTAGAGACAAATCTGGGGATCGGGCAGGCCAAGGAAGGGTAGTAACAGTGTGGAGACAAGTCTTGTGACACCCTTGCCGTATGAGGCCGAGCATTGTCTTGTTGAAAAATGGCTTTTGGGAGCCGTTGCATGAGTGGCAATACATGTGGTTGCAGGATTTTATGAACATACCACTGAGCTGTCATGGTGCCACAGAACAATACTATGGGTGACCGTGTGTTGTAGGCAATGGCACCCCATAGCATTGCACCAGCTGTGGGAGTGATGTGTTGGTGTACAGCAAAGGCAGGATTGAGGCGTTCACCACGGGCTCTCCACACACAAACACGATTGTCATCACTGCCGAGATTGAATCTGGATTCGTCATTAAAGATGACCTGGTTCCATTCTGCTGCAATCCAGTTTCCTCGTGCTCGACACCACTCCAAACGGAGGCGTCGATGGGTGGGCATCAAGGGCAGCACATGTAATGGGCACCGCGATACCAACTGTCCTTCAGACAGGCGCTTTCGTATGGTTCGAGAAGACACAGGGGCCTCTAGTGAAGGTGCTACCTGTGCCTGGATGGCGACCAATGAAGCAGTTGGCTGTACACGTGCATTTCTTACGATGGGGCGGTCTTCTCGACAACTGATTTGTCGAGGGCGTCCTGAGCCTGGTCTTCGTGTGCATTACATTTCTCGGGTTCACTGATCCCAACACCTCCTCACAACACAATCAGAGCGGCCTAATTGACGAGCTATTCACCTAGCTGACCACCCAGCTTCCATCATCTCGATGACTCTCCCCCTCTCAAACTGGGACAACTTCTCATATTGCCTTCGAACATGGCGTAATGGCATGTCTACCTCAGCTCTTCCTTTGTAAATGCATCTGAGCATCTGAGTTTATTAGCATCTGGAAACTGGTGATCAGTGCAACGCCATCTGTTGGTGATGTTGTCAATGGCTAGTTATGAGTATTATGTGGTTTAATCTCGATAATAATGTAATGTATATGCCTAATAATCTACCTTGATGTCAAATTTCAAGTATCTACGTCATTTAGAAGTGGTCTAGGTTTTTGATGAGGGAGTGAGTCTATCAGTGAGTGATAAAAATTATGCTTTTCAGACCTTAATAATTCTATAACTGTAAGAGCTATATTAATAAAATTTGGGATTCTAGTTTTCAAAGAAGCTCTCTCTATTAGACATACAAAATTGCAAATTTGTAGGTCTAATAGTTTTTTGAGTAATGCGAAAGTAGCTTGAAATGGTTCATGTAAGATGCACATGGCTGGTGTCTCGTTTCTTTTCCATCTGTTCCGAACTTGGCTGACACACTGCCATGTGTCTAAATATTAATGAAACCTTTGAAAAAAATATCCACTGTAATTCCTTAGCTTTTTAATTTTTTTTTGAAGCACCAGTTTATAACAGTGAGATGTTGGTGCAAATTTTGTTTTTTTTCTTTTCGCAAAAGAATCACACTGTTTTTTTTAAGCTTTTAATATTTCTTTTTATATATCCCACCCGTTTTTTATTTGATTGTGTAGACTAATACAGTCAAAAGTTGTTAATTCGGACACCCATAATCTGGACCTCAAAGCTACAAACTTTCTGCGCATGCGTCGCGTTGACACCTACGTGTAAGACTCTTATGGCTGCGATTATGCGTGTGCGCATGCACATAATACGTTTACACATGTGCGTTTAATGTATAACGGATGGTATAAGCTAAGCTAAAATTATCTAATTCAGTTAATGTTGCAGATTCCATTGTTCCTTAATCTTCGAATTGGATCCAGCTTATTATTTTTTGCAGACTGTTAGAGCAATTTTATAAAAGTAAGCGTGATCTTTCGATTATGTCAAATAGAATTTCCAATATATATTTACTAATATGTAAAGGATCTACAAAGCGAAAGTATGTTTCGAAGTCCATTAAACAGAAAGTGGAATTGGTGCAAAAAATGGATAATGGCATATTCTTTGATTATCTAATCATTCCGAAATATGTTTATCAATTTCACGCTGCTCTGCGAAGGAAGGGAAACGACGCGGCGTGCAATGAATTGGAAGTTGATCTGTCAGCACTATCCTTATCTTCAGGGCAGATGTTTTTATTTTATTTGACTTATAATTCTTTACTAAATGTAGTATTTCATCTCAATGTACTCCGTCTTTGATATGATTTAAATCAAGTTCCTCGTCACTATAATTTGCTTCCAATGGTGAAGAAAGTGACACAGAGTTTATTGAAAACGAAAAAATTTCGATTGACAAATTAGTCGGTATTCTCGACACAGCAATTATAGGACTTGACCAGCGTAACTTTGTAACTAAACAAGAAATTATGTCTGTTTAATAGAATTAAAGAGAAAGTATTATCACATGAAATGAAGCAACTTAAACAACTTACATTGAAAGAAATGTTTAATAAAGTAAACAGATAAATATTAAGCTTTTTCTTTTTGTAAATTTTTATACCCTTTAGATCATAATTGTTCTTTATTTCATAAATTACGTTTTCATATTTTTAATTTTATAATTTCTGCATACCATCTTACCATATTAATTCCATACCATCTT